CAGCCAGCCTTCAGCCTGTGCTCCTGCTGCTCCTGCCTACCATGCCCCTGCCTAGGCTCGCTATCCTGCTGTTCCCCAGCTTGCTTAGACCCTTCCTCCAGGAAGCCGCCCTGGGCTGCGCCAGGGGAGGCGGCTCTGCTTCGCAGCCCCTGGGTTTGCTCCACTTGGCCCCTGTCACTCGGAAGCCAGTGTCTCTTGGGGAGGAACTCACCTGGCCTGCTTCTGTGGCCTGAGCCCAGCGCAGGCCCTGTCTGCAAGATGGAGGGAGGCACTCCTCCCAGCCTCCGTCTCCTGCCCGCCAGGGGGGCTCTGTCCCTCTGCCAGAGCGGGGCCCTGCTCCCTGAGAGCTGCCCTGGGCCTGTCCTGCTCATTGGTCATGGCCCCTCACTGCCCCCGCCCCTGCCCTTTTCGGGGGGTGCCTTCTGTCTCCCGTCCAGCCCTGGTGGCCTTATGGTCCCATGGGCTCAGGGGAGGGGCACTTGGGATTGTCCCCTCAGTTATGAGCCCCCCACCCCCAGGAGAGGACCTCCGGGTCACAGCCCGCTCAGAGCCGGGGGAGGGGGTGGTGGGCCCTATCCCGCCATGGCCTGTGGCTCTCAGTACCTGGGACCTGGCTTGAGGAGCTGGGGGAGGTCTTGTCCTCTTGTTCCTCAGGGCCCCGCCGCGGGCCCCAGGGAGCTGCTGCCCCTGCCTGCCCAGAAGCCAGGCGCCTGCAGGGGAGAGGGCTGGGGTGGGGCAGGGGCAGGGGCTGCAGCCCTGCCCCGCCTTGGAGCCAATCCCAAATGAGTGTGACTGGGGTGGCACCCAGCCTCAGGCTCCCATGACCAGCTCCTCCGACCGGCCTGGGGACCAGTGACTGCTCAGCCACACAGCCCCAGCCGGGACCCCCCACCAGACAGGACACCCATGGCGGGGCTCCGTGCAGGGACAAGCACCCACCGTAGATGCAGTTCCCTCCACGCCCGAAGTCCAGCCAATGGCAGGAGGTCCCGGCTGTCTGCAGGGTCACGCCCTGGAGCGGAGGCCCTGGTGGCCAGGTCTTCAGGCCTGTGTGGGGGCAGCTGCTCTGGGGGCACCCAGGTCTGAGAAGGGAAAGGGCTGGTTTGGGGGCATGGAGGGGACTGGGCGGGCAGCAGGCTGGGAGGAGAAAGACTTAATCGGCTGCAGAGGGCGTGGGAGAGCCGGGGCCTGGCCCCGCAGTGGCTATAGCTCAGGGCACTGGCCGGCCAGGATGCTGTCCGCTCTGGAGGAGCGCCCAGGACGCCAGTCCGTTCTGGGGAGCAAAGCCCAGGACACTGGTGCCCTGTGCGTGGCTGGGTCCCGGCTCCTGGGGGCAGGGCGTACCTGGCAGTGGTGCTGACGTTCCCGAAGGCCCTTGGTGGGGTTTCCGCAGAGGACGTGGCCGGAGCCTGAGGAAGAAGGTGTGGCTGGGCCTGGTTAGGGTTGAGGGGCTGCAGGGTCAACTTCCTGCGGGGGGTGGGCGTTACCGTGGGTGAGGTTGCTGGTGTCATCCTCTGGGGCTGTGTCCTTGGGAAGCAGAGCTTCGGGCAGGGGTCCCCCAGGGGCCAGCAGGGAGAGGGGCCAAGGCCTGGTGGCCCGGGGCTGGAGCTCAGGCCGGGAAAGCTCAGGGCCGAAACTTCGAATGGGGTCTCCGTGGGGATGATCTGCCCGAAGGTCAAAATCAGAGGTCACCAAGGACCCCACCCGCTGGCCAGCTCAAGAGCCCCCCAGGCTCTGTCCACAGACCAGGAACCCCGCCACCCAACATCTGCGTGTCCCGGGGCCCAGGTCTTGGACCTCCTCTTCCTCTTCCGATGGGTGTGGGGGCCCCAGCCAGGCGCTGCCCACAGGGAGGGGTCCTGGCCTGGAGGCAGTGTGCAGGGCTCTGGGATGCGTGGTTAAGGCTGAGAAGAGATAGCCCATGAGGCGGCCCATCTCTGAGAGGCCTGGGAACGTGGGGGGCTGGCGGTAGAGAGCTTTTGTCTTAAGGGAGGCACCGGTGGGTGGGGACCTCTCCTTGGGCAGCCCTTGCCGAGGCCGGGGTGGGGCGGGGGCTGCCTACCCAGCCTGGGAAGCAGGCTGTCCAGGACACTGCCCTCCTTGATGGCCTCCTTCACCAGGAGCCAGTCCTGGTCCAGCTTCCGGGCGGTGGGCAGGCGGGTCTGCGTGGCGGGCATCTCGTCCAGGACCTGCAGCTGGGGGATGAGCTCCCTCACCTGTGCCCTGTAGTTGTAGCCCCGGGGCGCCTGCAGGGCAGAGAGGGGGTGCAGGCCTGGGGCCGTGGGCCCTTCAGGCCAGCTGAGACCTGGGCCACTTGCCCCCGACCCACTGTGGTTGGGGTAGGGGAGCTGGGGCTGGTGTCCGGGTCACTCTTGGGGCACCAGGGACGTGGGGCACCCTGGCTTCTCACCCCGGTGCTCTCACTGTCCAGGTGCACGGCCAGGATCCAGTGGTGCCCTCCGGCCTGTGGAGCTGCCCTGAGCTCAAAGCGCTGGCCCAGTTGCCAGAGCAGATAGCAGCTGGCAGGGCAGGGGCTGTGAGCTGCAGGGTGCACAGCAGTGCAGGGGCCTGTGCAGCTGTGGGTGTGCACAGGCTTGCAGGCTGTGTGTGTGTGTGTGTGTGTGAGTGTGTACACACAATTCTATGTGGAAAAGTTACAGAGCGCGCGTGGTTCCACGTGGCCTGTGCACGTGGCCCTGTGGGGTTTGTCCAGCCCAGGAGGGTGCACTGGCCGCTGCCAGGCCTCTAGCTCACAGTGAACGAGCCACAGGGTGCACGTGGCCCCCAGGCCACGGGAGGGGCTAAGGACCTGAGCCACAGAGCGCCTCCCGCACCGCACGCACCTTGCCGGAGGGGCTTGGCCGCAGGCACACCAGGTTGCCCTCCAAGGTGAGCACGGCCAGCCTCGGGCACAGCTGCAGGTAGCGCACCTGCCCCAGGTCCTCCACGTCGTTGCCCTCTAGGTCTAGCACCTCCAGCTGCTCGAGCAGGCAGAGCGGGCTGAGGTCCGAGACGTTGTTGTAGGAGACATACAGCTCCTGGGGCGGCACGGGAACTTCAGCCCCGGCCTGGCGTGGTGCCCGCCCAGCCCAGGGCACCGCAGACCCACCTTCAGGGCCGGGAAGGAGCCGATGCCATCCAGGTCAGTCAGGCCACAGCGAGCCAGCCACAGCACCTGCAGGCGGCCCAGGGAGGTGCCCAGGTCTCTGCAGAGGGCGGGGTTGGTGGTCAGTGCCGTCCTGGGGTGGCGGGCCATGCCTCGTGCCCAGCCACACCCACACCTGCTGTCCCGGGGTCCAGGTGTGAGTGGGCTCGTGGCAGCCTCCAGGCTGCAGAAGGGCTCCCTGCCTTCCCTC